CTCTTGCCTTTTGGCATTCCTAGTACCAGTCTCTGTTACTAAAATACTTTCTCAGCCACCTCTTCACCTCGACAATTCCTAGCCTTTTTTTTTTTTTTTTTTTTTTTTTTTTTTTTTTTTTTTTTTTTTTTTTTTTTTAGCTTTACAGGAAGTCACTGCTAGGAAAGTTCCCTGCCCTCCCAGATAAGGGGCCCCTTTACGTATTTCTTTAGTATGAACCCTCCCCCACCCCCACCCTATCTATCCCTTAGTACTCTGCATTGCAATGGACACCTTAGGTTCCTAAGAAGAGAGATGATCGTATGCATGCTCTACCCTCCCGCACAGCGGGGTATTCAGTAACTGTTTGCTACATGCAGGAATGCGGCCTGTCAATAAGTTGGAATCCTGCCCAGGCATATTCAGAGTCATTCTGGAAGTGCCTCACTGCTTCCTGAGGTTCTCCTGCAATGAGAAATACACTACTTATGGGTTATACCCATCTGCCTAGAAATTAAATGAAATAAAATGATTTGTGGGTTTTGGTTCTTGTTAATTAAGATAATATGAGCAAAGGAAACCTCTATTGAACTTACTTTTTATTTCCTTCTAAACAAATAATCCTAAGAAAGGATTATTAATTTTTGATGAACTTGACTTGTCCCCTAATATAACCTCAAAGAACAGCAAATGAAATCAAGAAACAGAGGACCGAGAAAAGAAGTCCAGGTGAACGTGTCCGTGTGCAGGTTTTTATTCCCTGAGTCAGCAGCGGTTAAAACATTCTCCATCGCTCAGATATTGGATATGATCAAACCTATTCTTAGCTTTTGGAACTGAAGCTCAATTTCTTATGTAAGATTTGCTTTCTCTGTGTTTTTCATTTAAAACTTATGGAAAGTATACTTTTTTAAAAATGTGAAAAGCCTGCCAGCCTCTGAAATATATATATATATATATATATATATATATATATATATATATATATATATATTTGTGTGTGTGTGTGTGTGTGTGTGTGTGTGTGTATCACAGAGGAAGGGAGAGAGAGTTAGAAACATCAGTGATGACAGAGAATCATTGATCAGCTGTCTCCCTGCACATCCCCTACTGGATATCGAGCCCTCAACCCAGGCATGTGCCCTTGGCCAGAATCAAACCTGGGACCCTTCTGTCTGCAGGCCGATGTTCTATCCACTGAGCCAAACCAGCTAGGGCCAGCCTCTGATCTTTGTGACTCTCCTACAACCAATCAATGACCCTCCAGCTCCAGGACCTTTCCTAAATAGAGGTGATCAAGTTAAAGGTCCTCCCCGAGTTAGAGGACACAAATAAAATAAAAAATGGTTTCCTTTATTTTCTTTAAAAAATGTTTTTTTTTAAATTTATTTTAGAGATAGAGAGGAAGGGAGAGGGATTGAGATATAGAAACCTCCATGTGAGAGAAACATCATTGATTGGCTGCCTCCTGCACATCCCCTACTAGGGATTGAGCTCAAAGCTCAGGCACCTGTCCTGACCAGGAATCGAACCCGTGACCTCTTAATTCATAAGTTGATGCTCACCCACTGAGTCACACCAGCTGGGCTCCTTTATTTTCTATGACTTAAAAATACCAGTTGTCAAGTCCTTGCACATCCACAGAAGACAGAATTACAAACCAAAGGAAAGGAAGTGGGGGCGAGGGGGAAGGCATTTCCCCTGCCTCTAGCAGAGGGAACTTACCGAGGCCCAAAGGAGGACCATGCCCTTCTAACAGCTCTCCCAATTTTCATCCCAACGTTGTTAGTGGGAAGTCATCATGGGCACATGGAAGGATAAGCCTCTATTTTAAAATCTCTTTTCCTGTCATGCCTCACAGAAAGCAAGAAGCACTGCCTAATAAGTAAGGTCTCCGATCTGAAATGCAGGACAAAGGAAGCCAAATCCTGGGAAACACTTAGAAAGCAAATCCAAATGACAGCTTCGTAGTGCTCTCCTTGGGAGGAAGGTAAGCTGCCCCCATACGAGGGCTTCCTAGAAACTTTGCTACGTAAGAAACACAGGACAGATAGTGCGCAGGAGCCGGGGAGGTTTGGCTTGATATTTGCATCAAGAACATAGGGCCTGCAGCCTGCAGGAGGCGCGCTTCCTGCATTGGCCATTGTAGTATTCCTGTCCCCGCACTGCTTTCTATTAAGTTAGGAATGAAGCGGAGACTGCGTGCAGGAGTGGGAAATGCAGGAAAAGCATCCTGTGAGAGAGAAATGAATGGAAGGGCATTCCTTCTTCCCATCTGTTCTCAACAGGCGAGGGAACAACACCGTGGACTTCCTTGTCACCCCTCAGCACTTCCCTTACAAAAGGACTTTCCAGTCGCTCGTCCATGGTATTTTTCAATGGTATTTTCTGACAGACACTGGGGAGCTTTGTCACTCTTCTTGAGATTAATTTTATAATGTTTTATTAAATGATTTTTCCTAAGAGGAGGACGGCAATGCAGCTGGTGCCAGCATGTTATCAACGCAGTCCTTTCCGTGTGAGTGAGTGCTCCTCTCGCTGTGCGGGTGGATCACACCACTGGTAAGCTGACGGTTGAATTTTGCTTTCTTTCTATTATATAAACCTATTTTTTTTCCATTTCTATTCCCCTTTACTCCATTCTTGATTGTTATCTAACCGTTTATTATTATCACAGTGTTTCTAAAATATAAGGAACATAATGGAATCAGATTTAAGGGAAAGAAATGATGGCTGGCCTTCCTTTTAATTCTGTCCTGTGTGCGGACAGCACAGTCCCACAGGTGGCTCGCCTCTTTCTGGAGCATGTCTGTGCAACAGGCTGCGAAATGCATGCTCAGGACAAGTGGGTAGAGGACCCTAAGATTCCGAGGCTCTAGCTAACCTCGGGATTGGGGATTTTGCTTGTTAGCGTATTTTTTAGTTTTTATGGAGCCGGTCATTCAACCACTCAGCCGACTCCAAACCAGGACCAGGCTCCCTCACCTCCCTGCCAATTAGCGAAGTGCTGTTCCAGGTCAAAGGTGAGACAACGGGAAGCTCTGCCAACACAGTGCGTCTCTGGATTTGGGGAGAATTTGGGCTATTTTCTTATTCCAATGAGAGGTATTTCTTCATTGATCACTAGATGGTCCAAATAGTGTGGAAATCTTTCAATATTTAGTCAATGTAGCCAAATGCAGTGCCTTAATTAAAAAACAAACAAACAAACAAACAAAAAAAACCCCTCAAGCCCACAGCAGAAATCACCCAGATAAACTGTCTATATTTCTCCAACAAACCTGAACACTATGCCCTTGTGTGGGCCCACAGTCACAGCCCAGCAGGTAATAAACTATTTTTTCAAGTAGAAGTCACAGGGCAATAAAGAATCTGACTAGAGCAGACATTTATTTCAAAGCTATGGTGCCTGCGTCTAGGAGAAAGTTCAAGATCTTTGAATCTGTTCACATGGCAAGAACTTTCCTGTACGTGAATGTCTGTGTCCTTCCATTTCAGATTGGCGCATGGAGCCAGCAGGTACTCAGCTCTCTTCACTCCTTTAACAAAGGCCTTCAAACAAAGAGCACATTGGACCTAGCCAGGCACGTGTGTGGAAACACGATGCCTTTTACTGCTAGGGCCTGATCTTCCCCAGCCCTCACCTGTCTCTCTGTCAGCTCTCCTTGAGACCCCTTGGCCCTTCCTCACCCCTCCTCCTAATAGTCCTGTCTCCTTGTGTGTGGCTTTCTCTGTTGATCAAGTGTTACTGAATGAATTCAGTTTTACTTTAGCCTGTCTTTGACCATGCATTTATACCTATGTAAGTCACTGTTTTGGTCAAAAAAGAGATGAAAGACCATTTTAAGGCATCTCTTAGTTTTCTTTCTCTCTTCCCCTTAATCTCACTGCTGCTATTCCACCACTTCTTGATGGCAACCGTGTGACTGGATGTTGGGGGGCCTTCCCATTGCAGACCCGGGACAAGGCCACCACGGGCTCAGGGCGGGAGGCCGGCTCCGAAATGCATTATTTCAAGCCCCACTTCACATGTCTTTGATCCTCATCTGCTGTGCTGTTTCTGCTACTTTAAAGAAGTTGCAGTAAAAGGAAATTATTTTTAAAAAGCTGATAAAATATACAGCTACTTAAAAGATACAAGCAGCAACAAAGCCTACCGTTCACTTTTGTTGGTTTTCAATGTATGGCTTTGATTTATGGATCACAACCGCCCCTTCATTATTTTATCTCCCTGGCTCCGGGCCACGCTGACAGTTAGAATGTGGTTTTATTGACCAGCGCAGCCAATGTGCCCACGAGGGACTGTGCCCACAGCCTGCTGCCTGCGGAAGCGATAAGTTTGATTCCGTGACTGAGTCAGATTGGGAATCACATCCGATTGAACAATAAGTTCCAGATCCCTGTGCCCAAGGCGAGAGGTCTGCGGTACCACACAATCATGCTTTGAGGGGGGGAGGGGTAGGTCCTTGGGTGGAAGTTTGAAGGCGCCATTGGATGGGCTTTGGGCTGCATCCATATCAGTCCATCGAAACTGGGGAGCGACAGGAGGGGGTGGTAGGCGTGTTTTCCTAAAGACCCAGTGCCCCAAACTAAAGATTAATGAGCAAAATGCCTAAAAAGCAAAAGGAATGCCAGTGACTGAGACAACGAATGGACTGTGAGAACGTTTCCTAGTGCTACTGCCAACCTTTCACCACCCGATGAGCAAAACGTCACTGAAGAATTGCATTTTGGAAGATCGGGGTCACTTCTCCCTGTGCCTGGGCACAGACAGGGACATACATGCTCGCGATGGTGGGGGGCCAGGTTTAACCGAGGCCCCTGGACCACAGACCACCTCCGTGGCCACCCGCGCGGTGTTAATCTAGTCTCTGACGCCAAAGCCCCAATGTACACAAGCAGACGTCCGAAGGGTAACAAATCAATAACATGTCTAATTTGATTAGCCAGGGTTTCCAAGTCTCAAGACAGCTCTAACTCGACACAAGCAGGCAGGTAAGCAGATAAAGAAGGGCACTCACTTGTGAGAATTTTCCAAGTCTTCTTTTCGTCGTCGTAGTATTGAACCAGGTTGCTGGGGAGGCGGTCCGGCCCGGGGGGCAAGCCTCCGACCAAGAGCAGCATCTTCTTGTTGGAGCGAATTCTTCACCCAAAACAAAAGAGGAGAGGAAGAACCACGTTATCGTAGAGCCTTCTGAGTGGCCACGGGATCATAACCATCAGAAGGGATGTTCCCTGCTTGCAAGATTTCTATTTCATTTTTTTTCCTGTTTCTTCTCTCATTCATGTCTCCACGATTTTTTTTTTTTTTTTGAACCAAGCAGAAAAATGATCAGGAGAGAGCCATATCCCCATACTCACAGAATAATAAGCTCCCTTTATGCAATTTGTTAGAAGTTCATTCTAGAACGACCTTTTTCTTATATTATCCCTTTAAATCATCACTCTTTACAGCCGAGTACACATGAAATGCTCCGGAGTTGTACTAAGGTTAAGCATTCGAGTTGCATGTCAAAAAATCGTATTAGTCAAAATCATTATGATAAGCCATTCTCCACTCAAAGAACCTTGAAAAAATTAAGGTTATGCAGAGACTTTGTGAGCCAACTCTTTAATCACCCCGGGGGGAACTTAAAATACAAGTTTGGTACAATTAGCGGCACGGGGCTCCCTGGGGTGGGTTAACCAGTAGGATGGGGACTTCTTATTTGTTTAACTTAGCTGAGCCTTTCTTTACCCCTTCCCCGGCGCCCCTCCCTTCTCTGCCCCGCCTGCCACCCCGCCATCCCCCGGGCACCGCTGGCGACACAGCAGCCCCCATTGGTAGAAATGAGCCTGCGAGGCTGTTTGGAGCCTCCCCAGGGTGGAGCCCTGCCAGTGCCTGCCACTGCTCCAGCGCATGAACCTGCTCAGCTGTGCAAAGTCACTCTAATTCCCTCCCTCTGTTTTTCTACCTTCTCCCCCAGGGGGCAACCACCGAAAGGAGTGACTACCCACCCATCAAGAGCTGGCAATTCGCTGCTATTAGCCGTGACTGTGATTCCCAGGCTGCCCGGCAGTTCCTGAGAGCAGGCCTGCCACGTCTCATATGCAGTAAAAGCTGTAAGAGGCACCCTGGCCGGCAGGCGCGGCCTGATGGATGGATGTACATCCTCGGGAGCAGGGATGGGCTGAGCACACTTGCCAGGGGAGCGGCGAGGGGAGGCCCAGACCCCTACAAGGGGCCTGCTGGTTTAACGCGCGCTTTACATACAATTGACCTTTTCATTCACCTGCAAGGCTGAAGGTGTTCATGATAGAAAGGGAACAGCCATGATGGAAGGAAAAAGTCAATAAATACAAAAGGGTTCCTTGTAAGATCCCAGCCTACAGGGTGGCTCTGATTCTATTGTTCCATATTCGGCAGGTCCTTCAGATTCAAGGATACTGTTTGTTGGTTAAGAACCTAACATTCTGCGAGTTAACTTAAAACAGTTAATGCTGTTTCCATGGGAAGGAAGGGAACAAGAGAATTCCTTTAGTGAAATTCCGGTGCCATTGAACGCATCCTGGATGCCTCAGCAGGAAAAATACCTCTGAAGAAACTCCTATTAGCAACTCACGGGTAGGAGGGGCCACACTTACAGAAGAATGCCCAACAGAGGACCAGCTTGCAATGTTAATTTTGCCACCGACAAAAAAACACCTCAATTTCTTTGAATTTAAAGTGTTTTGGATTTGTGCCCTTATAGACCTTATAGTTGGGAGGTGAACACAGAATTCAATAGCAAAGAGGGCCGTATTTTGAGGGCTTCAACGATTGGGGTGGCTTGTCAAGAGGGATAAAGGAAACTCAGTGTAGTAAGTATTATCACTTACTTTGAAGTGAGACGTACATAATTGATGTATCATATAATCTCCTAAATGCCTGGTTACAGAACTAACATAAGACTTTTTTTTTTTAATTTTTTTTTATCACTGTAGTTTTAGCTCAAATAAGCAGCCACTCTGTGAGTACAAGAGAAGCCAAGATGGTAAGGAATACTTTTTTTAGGTTGCTGTCAGTTGCCATGTGTAGACAGACCTGTTCAACGGGAAGTCACAATTCTATGGCCATTGTGACATGACATGGGTAGGAGCAGATGGATCAATATCTGCCAGTTAGACATGGAGGAAAGGACTCATCTAAGTGATGGTGCCACCAGAGCCATAACATTTAATCCTTATCTTAATATTTAAATTAATATGCTGCTTGTAAAATGTGATTCACCAGTGACAAAGGCAGATAACTTCATGGCTCAAGTGTGTGTGTAAGGTCATTTTATTCATTGATCAGGCCAACTTCCCTAGACCAATCCCCTGGTGATTTCCAACCCTGACTTACCTGGACCATCTCTGAAGACAGAATATAGAGTCTTGGTCTTCTCTGCCCCAAGTCATTACCACCTGACCTCTAAGAACTAGACTGAGACTACCAATATGAAAGCCACCAAGCAGTTGGCAAATGTAATGCCTAGCCCACCAATAACGACATGCTTCAAAGGGTGAGCTAGCACAGCAGCAAGGAAACGCTCTACACAAATCAGGTTAAATCTCTAAACCATCCAGGTCCCCGAGGGAGTGCGATGGGGAATTGCATGGAGTAAGGAAGGAAAGTCCCACCTGCCCTCCTGCTGTGTTGTCTGTGAAGGACCAGGACTGTGAGTTCATTATGTGTGGCCTTCTTCATGACGAAAGACACACTCTGCGTCTTCTGCATTGTTTTTATATCAGCATTCATTCAGTCTCTTATGGCATTTTACGAGGAGAGAATTTTGTTTCCAAAGCTTGTCACCCACTCTTGATGTTATTTAACTCTAAAGTCTAAAACTCTCCCTTGTGAAGGTGATCACATAGAAAGCAAAAAAACAGGATAGCATACGAGAAGCAGCACAGTACAGAAGAAGCAACACGTAAAATAACAAAACAGATTTGGGTGTTTTTCTCACTATTTTCTCTGTAGACTCTCAAGATGACCCTATGTGTAAGTATTAAAACTCCATTCTGCAGAGAGGCAAGAAAGTTCCCATAGTCAAACCAAGACGCAGAAACAATGTCCAGATCCTTTACTGGGCCAATGTCTTTTTAAAATTCAAATTTATGCCCAGCCAGTGTGGTTCAGTGGCTAAGCGTCAACCCATGAACTAAGAGGTCACCGGTTTGATTCCCAGTCAGGATGCATGGCCCCCTTGTATGCTGGATCCCTAGTGGTGGGCATACAGGAGGCATCCAATCAATATTTCTCTTCCATCAATGTTTCTATCTCCTTATCCCGCTTCCTTCCTCTCTAAAAATCAATAAAAACATTTTTTAAGAATTCAAACTTATTCTTTAAAATTTACTTTACTATAGTTTCTAATTTAGACCCAACTTCCTGTGTTAATTTTGCTATTTATCAGAGTGACTTTATATAAATTACCTGGCTTCTTAGAGACCATGTTTTCTTAGCTTTAAGTAGACAAATAAAATTTCTAGCCTTCCTGCTCAAAAGATTGTCATGAGGACTGTATAAAACAATGAACTGAAAAATTCTGTGTAAATTCTAAAGTAAATTATTATTAACCAGTCTTTAGATATCGACAATATAATGTGGGCTTTATTTCAACATGCCAAATCTTATTAAATAGTTAAAAAAGAAAAGAAATATTTTTCACTGAGATTCTTATTGAGTTTATGTGTATAAATGCAAGCTAATTAAGAGGACTTCATTACCCAGTTGTTATCTTATAATTATGTTCTTAGAAAATTATTACTTTAATTATATCGGCTATCTTTTGAACCTTGTTACAAGAAAGTATGCATTTGGACATTACATAAAACTATGAACCTTCCTGGATCCAAATAATGGAACCTAATAAAGATTACTCCACATTTCTTAAGAACAAAACAAATGAGAAAAACCATCACATATTTTACATTGATATAAGTGCAACGTCAACTATTCAATTACTCCTAGAAAGTAATACATGTGAATAATTCCTGTAGAAAAGCTCCCATTCTTTTTACAATTGCAATTACAATAGTGACAATGACAATAATGACAGATAATAATGATGTGTATTGGACATTGAAAACTCTAATTATCATGCTATTTGTATGATGTATGTGAGCTTCAATCTGAAAACACCATGAAAAAAATAAATAAAAAAGATACCTTGTGAACTAGAAAAGTAAAATTAGGAGAATCCGAATTAACTTGCTAAAGTGGGTTTCAATTATTCTTTCCTAAATAATTCCAGCAGAGTCTTACAGGTTTAATTTTAGACTCGGCAAAATCTACGAACATAGCACTACTGCCATAGGGTTCCTTCATATAGCAACACAAAATGCTTTTTAGAAGTTCTTAATATAGGGAAAAATTTAGTCAAGATTAGTATGGTCTCATAAAATATATTAATATTTAAAAAATAATTCTCTTTGCTCATTATCTTAGCACCACTTTGACCAAAGTAATGTATTGAAAGGTAAGCAATTAGGTAAAATTAAATAGCTGAGCCTGTCATGATGAATAATAACATTTGGATGCCTTTGATTTGAGTTCCTAGATTCTTGCAGAGACAGATATAAGGTTAAAAAGGAGAGGGAACCTGAGCTTCCTTTGTTCCGGCTCAGTAATTGCCCAACATTTAGCATGTGTCACATCTGCGCGTGTGTGCGTGCATATGTATGTGTGTGTACCCTGCACACACGCACTTGGGTTCCCTGGCTGAGTGACTGAAGGATGACCTAAAACCTCCTGGTGTAAACAAATTTTTCATCGTACTGGTTTTCTAAATGCAGCAAAGTCTCATTTATTTTTATTTCAGTGATTTGGAACCTTGATAATTGGGAAACAGCCAGATAAAGTTTTGCTTTCCGTGATACACAAGTAAGTTTTCACTGACCAGATGGAAAGGAAAATGTTCTGAAGCTATTTAAGAAATCAGGCGGCCTGCTGGCACGAATACACATTTGGACTAAATTCACTGGACAAATTATACATAATTCTCATTTATTAAAGAATGTATCCTGCCATGTTCTAAGCATCATGGAATCAGAGACTTAGGAGAGAACTTTGGAGTACCTCATTCAGTGACCCCAAGTCTGGTCACCAGGGTCCCAGAGGGAATCACAACATTTAGATTC